ATTTTCAAGTGATCAAACAGCTATTTATATCTATACAGTTTATATTGTTTAAGCAATCACTGAGCGTATGATTTTGGTCTACATTAAACGACATGAAACAGAATGTTCAAATACATAGTATTCTGCTGCTAGCACAGTATTGAACTGTGGGAATATATGAGAATAATATTCCTTTGGAACACACTGCCCGTATTGCACCATATTTGACTGATAGATTCCGATTGACATTTATTCAGACATTATCACTACTTTTATTATTATTGTTGTTTAGAAATGTACCCTAGAAAATCGATTGTTTTAGGGTGACAGAACGCATTTGCTTATCATTACTACTCATCTTTTCCACTGAAGATTTCTTGACAGTAGCTATTAATGAGAGATGTGTTCGAATGGTCGAAAATTTCCAGTGTAATTGATATCTAGCACTGTTAAGATATGGTATTTGTTTGCTCCGAGTACCACGTTTACCCCTAGACTGTACATGCAGAAAAAATCCTCCGGGAATTAAACTTTCAAAACATCATCCCCCTTATTATCAAACGTTATCGTTTGAAAGGTATTGTCTTTTTGGATAATCTAAAGTCTAAACAGAGTTGTGAACAAATCGTATTTTAGTTGGAGCATTTCATCAAACTAAATCCCTACAGAAACCAATACTTGAAAATCTTACTTTGTTAAATAATAATATAAATACTAGAAGAATTGGAAATCCTCTAAGGGAAATATTTCGATTAATCTTAGTTGTGAGTTTCAAACGATTTGTTGATTATACTGAAAACAGTTATTTGAATTTCCTTTAACTGGTAACTGCAGTGTTCTTCAATGAAATGTTAGTGAACTGTTAATCTTTAATGGAAAAAATTATGTCAACCTAGTTACTACGAAAATGATATATGTTTGTAACACGTGATGATCGCACTGTATATATATATATATATATATATATATATATATATGGTATTTTATCGAATACACTGCTGAGCTAGTAATTAGGAGGCGGTTAGTTTCAGTCTTACTGCAAACTAGACTTCCATTACACTCTCAGTGTATTCTTAACCCATTACATTAATACTTGCCTGTCAATCTGAAACCACCCTACTTTGCCCCACCAAACAGTTAGGTTGAATATGTTTGCATTGTTATCTTAACTACTAATAAGTAGCTAAAGATAACAAGATGAAAAACGTAAATCAAATTCACTGTGCACTTATTATTGTTGGTAATTATCACATTGTCAACCTCTAGTGTGTAAGATGCGATGATAACACGAGATTAAAACTATGTTATTTGGTTGCTAGTGGTTAGTGGTAGAGTTCAAGACACGCATTTCGTTCTGTGTGAGACTCTTCAACTGGATGTAGTTATATCCCATCTAAGTAGTAAAAAGTTGATCCAGGGGAAACTGAAAAACAGCAATTTCAAAGAGACGTCTCTCCTGGCTTAAAGGATAACCATTTGGAAGTTGGATCTGAGCTACAGGGAGGACATTGTCCAGATGTGAGTATCAAACAGGATAAAACTCATGTCCTAGATTCTACTGCTAGCCCCCACCAAATTAGTTACTTAGATTTATTGTGTTTATTTAAACTTTGACACTCCACCTAATTCATCTTGTATAGTACGTAGCTCTAACCTAATTTTATAACTCCCTGAAAATTCTCACCCAAGCTGTCTGAATGATGTATATGAAGGTAATATGTTGGAAATTTCGGTTAAGACATGATCGTAACCAACGTGTTCAACAAATGTCCAATTTGATATACGTTAAAAATAGTTATGAGAGATTTGTCGAAGGTTACTGGGTCGTCATTCTGTGGCTCCTGAACCATTATTATTTGTGCAAATGTCCAGTCTACCGCAGCAGTTTATGAATAGAGATGTTTCCAGTCAGTGAATTAGCGACTAGTTGTTTCACGCTAGGCTGAATGCAACTTATTTGTATTCGGGTGTTGCTTAGCAGGAATATGATTGGCCACTGGATTTCATCATAAGTTGACATTGGTTAGAGAACCATTGGAAAGCCTGGGAGTACTGGATAGCTGTTTCGTCTCAATCTGGGGCTTCTCATCAGTATGCAGCCACCGGGGTTTGTTTTTAGGTTAATTCTGTATTTCCTTTTGATTGATTATGTTATAGCTGACAATTCCCAAACGGAACAAAATATTCATCCTGTATTACAGTTTTTGTCGCTCCCAACTAAAATAACTTCATGTTAACAACCTAGTGGAGTTTATATACACGAGACATTGTCTTATGGTCAAAGGTTGGTTATTCTTTCTTAAAACGTTTATGTATATACGAAGTTTTGAATATCTTACTGATAAAACCGTACGCCAAGTGGACACTAATTCCTATTCTACTTATAAGGATGATAACTTGTAATAATTTTTCTTCTCAAGTTCAAAATACCTGTGCATCCTTCTGAAACCGATTAATGCATATTTCATAAAGTCTATACAGGCAAACAGTAACACTTTCGATGAAAGTCTCCCGTCTACTAGTTAATGCTCAGCATGATATGCAGTTTTACAGTTAATTTGTAGCAAACTGACTGCACCAAATTATTTGCTGATTACGAATAACATGAAAACGAGAGCTGGCTCACTAACCAATGTGGGAAACGGGTATTTTGGTCTGATATTATCTTACAGAACTAGATGAGATGTGACATCCTTTTTTGAAAGTGAATGCGGCCGACAGTGCTATTACACAATAAAGTAGTGAATAGGAAAAAATACTAATGTTGGGTCGTAGTTTAATCTTTTTACACAAACGGACACCATAGTAATAGTGTAACAGTAGAAGGCAAGACACGGAAGCAAAAGTGTATTTTCAAGTGATTAAATAGCTATTTATATCTACACAGTTTATATTCTCTAACCAATCACTGAGCGTGTGATCTTGGTTTACATTAAACGACATGAAATAGAATGTTCAAATACATATATAATATTCTGTTGCTGGTGCACTATTGAACTGTGTGAATAGTATTCAGACGTTAACACCAACAAATACAATGATTCTTACTGTGAGAATAATATTCGGTTGGAATCCATTGTCTGTATCACACCACCACAATGGTAATCGGTCTACTTGAAACGACAGTCTTCAGATAGTGTGAAACTCTAAGAAGAAAATACAAAATTCGAAATACAACGTTGTATTTCTCATGGTATCCCCAAGTACCTTATCTAACACACAAATTCCAGTTTGTTTTCTAACATTTTTTCTAAGACTGTGTATTGTTTCTGAGAGCTACATCTATGTTGAATCATCTTGGAGAAGTAGAAAAACTCTCTTTATTTTGGTGTGGTTGTGTTCTCTGAGCTGGATGGTTTGGTTGCGAAGCTTTCATTGCTCTACTGAGCAACATCTTCAGCGCATACTTCGATGTGAAGTGAGCTTTTAGAATTCTCTATGAGTTTATTAGTCATCTCTTCTAGTAACCCTGAACGTGATTGGTTGTTTTCGTCCACCTGAGCTACAAATCTTCTCTATTATATCTAAACTCTCTTTATATAACTCGCCATACATTTCGCTGAATGATCATACTCGTCATCAAAGCATGTGTGCAACCTTGAAGGAACTGACAGGTACATCTTTAGGTATCCGAACTCCACACTTCACCCAGTATTATAGTCACAGACATTCGCATCCCGATTCACGATTGACCAGATGTAGGATTTTTTCATTATTCTCATGGTTTCCAAATGGAACCATAGGGCTTGCTGTAGCACTCTTATGGATATATTGATTGACCACTTGTAAGTAAAAGTATGTGCGTCGGTGGCATAGCGGTTAGGACGCTCGCCGACCATGAACATGGTCCGGGGTTCGACCCCTACCGGCACACACCTGATATATATGGTCGGCCTGCAAAATTTGGGCTACCGATAACAAATGCTGAAAATTCCATACTTATACCAAAAATACGGTGTGGTTCCAAGCTATAATCAAAATAAAATAAAAAAAGATTTGTGTGACAAACGTGCTAGGATGAAATCGATTACAAAATATTGTAAAATGACAGACAATGGCGGTGATTAGTAATAAGTTTACGTTTTCTTCACTTCTGCATAAGCGAAGTTCTAGCCATACATGAACAGAAAACTAAATTATGTGTTCAAAAACGTTTTGTGAAACCCCTTTGTTTACCTTGGTCATAGTAATGTTCTTTCTAGTTTTTATTTTATTTTATTTTACCACTTGAATTCATTCCACTTCACTTCACATCTTTATTCTTATCGTAATCGTACTCCTCATTTTATAATAATAGATTTGTAGAGTGTGGGGTAGGAAAATTGACAAGTCAGTACTAGCCACTCACCTGACACTTTTTATAACCTGACTTGTCAATTTTTTCTACCCCACACTTTACAAATCTAGTATGACTAATCACCAACATTGTCTCCCATTTTACAATTATTTGTAATCGATTTCAGCCTAGCACGTTTGTGACACAAATACGACTATTTATTTCGACACCCCATAACTTATCTGTTATTCTACGTTAAAAATGTATCCACCGTATAACTGGCCATTATTGTAACGACAATAAATATTATAATAATATTATAAATGCCCAAATTTTTTCAAACCGTTAAAAGTGAACTTGGTTTGGACATATATAAAATAAATATTATATTTTATGATTGTAAGAACCTGAAGAGAAATTATTGAAAAGAATATTATTCGTTCAGATTGACTTTTAATTCACACAAATATAGGATGAAATTTTTTTATGTTTGTTACACAAGAAATCTCTGAGTAATTGTCTCCCTAAAAGGTTTTGATTGGCTAATGTAAATCTCATCACAACACAAAGAACCAATCAGATTACTGTGCGCGAGATAGAAATTTGCTAGATGACTGAGCGGACTATAGCAGGGAGGAAATTGACAATTTAGGCTTTAGCGTTAAAAGGTGTATATAAATTTATGTCCATGCGAAATACTTTTTGTTTAAAATAGTCAGTGTTTGGACATTACACCTGGTCAGGAATGTACAATATACAAAAGAATGTAATTCCTTACAGTAGTATGGTCAGCAGTGATAACCATTTATTACCTGAGTGTAATCCTGACTTCTATGACTCATCAAATAAGCATAATTCTAGTACATTCCAACACTATACATTAAATCATTCAGGAAATACTAATCAATATTCAATAAATTCAAACAGTTATTATTCACCTGTTTCATCAAATATTGTCGATTCGTGCTCAATGAATAGTTTTAATGGTTTCAATGAATACAGTAGAACACAGTTATCTCAATCAATCAAATATCACCTAATAAATGATTCAGTTTTATTTAATAATAACAATAACAATTTCAAAGTGATTGATTCAAATCAAGTTGACATACAACCTGACTCAACTGTTCCTACTCTCACTAATATGGATGACGATGACAGTCGTGAAGAGCGGGAGGAAAAGGAGAAAGATGATTGCGTAATGTATATGAAAGGAAGAAAAAATAAAACATGTAAACGTAAGTGAACTATTTTGGTATGGTTGTGTTCTCTGAGCTGGATAGTTAATTTGCGAAGCTTTCATCGCCCTACTAGGCGACATCTTCAGCGCATACTTCAATTTGAAGTGTGAACTATAATCTTCTGGACTATTCTCTAAACTTTTAACCATACTAGTGAGTACTAATCATGTTGCGATGGAGAATCACTGTGAAACCAAAACAAAGTCAATTGTCAAGTGTTTTGTTTTGAGGGCTTGCTTGATTTCAGGTTGAAACACGAAGTGACTATGGTGAGTGAATCACTGAAAATCAGGAAGTACTTGGTACTCTTCAGCAGTACCCACCGCGGATGGAACCCTGGAGCTTCGGGTAAAGAGGTGAGCTTGCTGAGTATTCAGTCACTGAGATGAAATGTTATCGACCACTGGTCATGACTTCTAACTGGATCTGCAGGCCTGCTTCGTGATGTGAAGGATCCAAGTTTGATCCCGGGTAGGGGCATGGGTGCATGCTGATGACGGGTCCCAGACTAGGAAGAAACACTTGTCAAGTACTCCCTGGTTTTCACTGGTATTCTAAATGAATTTAGTTTGCGACCTAACTTAAAATCAATTATCCTTAATAAAAGTGAGTTGAAATAATCCATTCTCATTGATACATTGATTTAACCAACTGATAGTGTCATCAAGTGATGACTTTTCATGAGAACTTAAAATAGTAGTGTTAATATCCATTGAAATGACATTAGAATACTGAACGACAGTTATCTTTCAGCCTAAATATTGACTTTTGTTTCCACAGTTGATATAGAATCAATTACTATACAAAAATGTTACTTAGTTCAACTTATTATAATTTCTTTTTTTTTACATAAATGCCAATAGACAGTTAAAAGATTCTTCTGAATTATTACGGAGCTAGATTTCTACATATTACACTGAAAGTATAAATATGTTTTCAAGCGTTGGTTTGTTGGGATCTAATTTATTTCAAGCTAGATTATACCACGAATTGACATCATTTAACGAACCACTGAAAATCAGAGAGTACTTTACAGCTGTTTCATCCCAATAGGAAACCCTTTTACCAATACACACCCAAGAACCCATAGGAGAAACTACCTAGGATGTCAGATTATGGGACATGTTTCTTGATCAATGTCATTTGTCTAGGCTTTGGTGCTGGTGTCGACTAAAATTCACCAATCTAGAAGACTTTCCACCTCTGTGGACTTTTTGAATACATGTTAGGTGGTTTGAGGAAATCAACGGGAAGTCTTGAACTAAGGTTTCGTCTTCACTGCCACTCATCAACAAGGCTTGCCTCCAGCCCCTAAGGAACTGACCAATACTCTCTGGAGGATTGAACCTACGTGCAGCAGACAGAGGTCTTACCATTGACCTCTTCAGATTCAGTAGTGTCTGCACATTTACGGATTGTGGGCACCCAAATGATCTCAAAGAGATCATATGTGAGGATGGGTGCCAACTAAAAGATCATTCAGTAAAGTAGAAGTGACTCATCATATTTTAGAAACTTCCAGTGATGATATACAGTTACCAGCGCTTAGTGTTAATTTACTGTAATCATAACTGTCAAGCTGTATAATAATTTTTATACCGTTAAAAGGGTAGGGGTTTGGTTGAACTTGAATAGTTGTTTTTTCCCGCCTCTATAGATTGACCATCTTCACATTAAACTTGATTGATCTTTTAAAAGATTCAGAGAGTGAACTGTCAAATGTCGAATATTTAACGACCAGGGGTTAATCATCAGGTAGTTATGCTGGACTGCTGTATCATTTTGTCCATTAAACGACCAGTCACCTCAGTGCATCAGTATCACTAATGACACTTTCATATTTTTAAGGTGATTTGAACTTGGTATGATATAAAATTAGTAAATATTTTTTTACGAGTTGATCATGGATTGATATCAGTTAGACAACCATTGAAAACCAGGGAGTACTGGACAGCTGCTGTTTCATCCCAGTTTTTGGGAATCATCGGCAGTACGCACTCACTGGGATTCGAACTGATATCAATCCGTGATCAACTCGTAAAAACATAACTAACCCTTACAAACCAAACTATAGAAAAGTAAATATTTTGGTATATTTGTGTTTTGTGTGTTGGATGGTTTTTATTTGCCAACTTTCCATTATCCTTCGAGACAATTTCTTCACTGCTAACTCCAATATGATGTTTGGAAAGGCAGTGAAAGCTTCTCAGATAAACCATCCAGACCAAAAAAATCTATTTTCATTCCTTTCCGTTCAGAGTGGAATATGGGGCTTCAAGCTCGAACTCTGAAATTTCAGGAGCGGTAGTATTTTTTGCACAGGGTGGGGGGGGGGTTACTAGCCTCAGGCCCAACCTTTCTTCTTTACCAGGCTTACTACCGGCTGAGTGAGGTTTATGAATGCGCTGGAGACGCGAGTGGTTGGCGAAACCTAAGGACGTAATTAATCAAAAGCCATCAACTCAAGCTACAAATCTTCTCCGGAATTCATAAGTATTTTGGATAGTTCGACGTAAAACTGAAAAGAAAACCAGTTTTATACCCAGTATCAATAGTACTAATGATCTTGTTTTCCTTATGTTATTCTGTTGAAGATAACTAGGAGTGGAATCCACGACTCGCGTCTCGTCTTGCCTGAGACTTGTCATGTTAGTATACCTGTATCCTTAGTGAGTGATAATGTTCCTGACGAAACTCGAATCCCAAACTCATCGTTTCAGGTATCTAAGCGTGTCACTTGGCTGTGACAGGCACTTCTTGTACAAGGAGTATCAGCTGTTATTTGTTTGAAGTTACCACTTTAGATTTCCCGTTGACTGATTTTACTAGATGTAAAAAATAAGTACTAAAAGTCAAGTCCTCTTACGAAGATTCATAAGCTTCACGGTTTTAGATTCCTCAATGCTTAATGATAACCAATCGTAAACTAAGATAAAGTATTTGCTTAACGCCACTCAGTTAATATTTGAAAAACTTGTAAATTAAATTTAATTCGGTATTTTATCACTTTATTGGGTTCCCAGTGGAACAGAGAACTTTAGCAACATATTGCCATTTCACTCCGTTCTCTGTGATCTTTATGCTTACCCATAAAGTTTCATTTCCTCCTCTCATAACCTACATTTCACTCTAGGACACACAGCTCTTCCTTTTACCACTCAGGTGCCATTCGACTACCTGGAGCACGATGTCACATGAAGGTCCACTCAACATTCGTTTAATCCATCTCCATTTGCTTTTACATTTTTGCTGGACAGTAGGCTCTTGGCTGGTTAGCTGCCTGTCACAGTGTCATGTTGCTTATTCTTTCTGACCTTCTAAACTTCAGCATAGAGCGAAAGCGGGTGTTTAAGAGTATCTGAAGCCCATTGGAAATGCTTTACTAGATATATCTGAACCGTATAAACCGATGAGTTGTCTCCTTAATTATTCAGATATTCCTTACAATCAGTCTCAATATCAGTGACAGGTGAGTTAACAGACAATGATATAAAGTTATGACACTAACGATTTTAAGGAAACAGCTCCCTTTTGTGCTTTTCACAGTCATTATATGATACCCAACGTTTCAGTCTAATGGCAAATGTGTAAATCGAAATCTAAAAATCAGCTGTGCAATGTACTCACTAGGTTAAACGATACATCACTGATGTACGTGGTGGTGTACTTTGGATATTGAAGAGGAGAAATTGACCACCATCGCCAATAGACATAAGTTAGGGATCCAACCCAGTGTTTGAATATTCAATCAGCTTACCTCTTAACATGAGGATTATGTGTTGTATCCCACGTAGTGTCATAGATGCACACTGATGATGAGTCACAAGGAGCACATTGATTTTCTATGATTCTACCTCGGTTTGTGACAAAATCTCCCAAAATGACAAAGCTAATATCTCCTTTGTAATTTGGATCTGGATCACAATTAATCCCTAGACCAACGATGGATGATGTAATACGCAATGAAATCAAGATGAGACATTAATGATATCGTGGGAGTAGTTCATCTTTTGGTTTTTGTGGATCTTGGAAATTTACTGAACACTGTTTAAGTGATATAGGCTATTTTGATATTCTTCTGACTGTCCACTGCATCCTGGTTTTCACTGATTCTCTACCTAATGTTGTTTCATGATGAACTCAGTCAACCCTTCTGTACACACACACACACACACACACAAATCAACATTTGGAAATTAAAACAAAACTACTTAACCAGTTAGTTTATTTCGAAATGAACAGGAAAACAATCATGAGAGGGGTATTTATTTCCTATCTACCTTTATCTTAATAGAAAGACCAATTTGAAGCAAATAGAATACAAAGATATTTTATAGTATTTATGATCATGTTGACATCTTTCAGTAAGTTATGAATTTAGTTAGTCTACCGATGTGTCAACTCAGTTTAACTAAGTTTTCACAGGATAAAGCAGACAACTATCTATCATACTTGTAGAAGCATTCAAAATCTCGGTAGTCCATGTATTTTTTTTACCACATAATAGGTCCCTGAATAAATGTTTACTGATAAAATAAAATTTCTTGTTCACTGTACATTTACAGAAGAGAAAAAAAATGTAAATCACGTAACTCCACTCAAATTTGCAACCAAATAACTATTTTCAATTACTGCTTTCCATGATTCGAATGATTTCAAGTTGGATCGTAAAGTGACTACAGTTTAAGAACTGTTTTCGTTTTTGTCCAGGACTTTTCAGCACTACTCACAACTGGGGGTGAAACCCAGGACCTTCAGCCACTGGGGCCAAGTCTGATGGCTTATGAATTCTAACTTCTAGCAATTCGCGACGACATGGTGCAACCACCAGCCAATGCCATCCGGTAGTATTTGTCTTCACATCCGCAGGGATGGATCTCACTGGTCACGACTTCTCACTAGAAATTCAGGCAACTTTATCCTGTAGTCAGTCACCAGTGCACACCAGATTAATTTTTAAGTTTTGTTATCCAGGGATTTAGATGACTCTAAGTTGG